TATATATATATATATATATATAGTATATGAGTCGGTGAAACTCCGACGAAACAGTTTGTCACAGCCCCTCGTTTGTTGTCCTCTTCTCCCTCTCTGCCTACGGTTTACCGGGCAGTTCTATTTGACGATATATATATGATATATATATATCGTCATATCGTCAAACAGAACTGCCCGGCAAACCGTAGGCAGAGAGGGAGGGAGAAGAGGACAACAAGTGAGGGGCTGTGACAAACTGTTTCGCCTGAGTTTCACTGGCTCATCAGGAGGCTGAACCCTCAACAGTCTGCAGAATCCCCTAACTGATTACACTGTAAATGACAATCCAGCTTAACCCCGGTTGTGGTTAAGCATCAACGACTGCCCGACAACTGGTACCCTGAGGTGGGCACCAACCACTGCCCCCAAGGTGCCTGTGATGAAAATCAAAGTAGACTATCACTCACCCACACCAAACGGAAAACTCTACAGACTGTTTGTTCACACACCATCACAAGCCAGCAAAACACCCATGGAACAAAGAAAGGTCTATCACATCCCAAAAATACACTCCAGACACGCCTCTGACACTGGAGCCACAGCACGGCCGCGTAGTGACCACCATGACAAATGCCGCTCAACCTGACCTGAGAAAACTGTAGCAGGGTGCTATCGAAGTCGTGGTATATATCGTCAAACAGAACTGCCTATGGTAAAGCGAAGGCAGAGAGGGAGGGAAAAGAGGACAACAAACGAGGGCCCAACTGTGACAAACTGTTTCGTCGGAGTTTCACCAACTCATCAGGAGGCTGAACCCATAACAGTCTGCAGAATCCCCTAACTGATTACACTGTAAGTGACAACCCAGCTTAACCACGGTTGTGGTTAAGCATCAACTATTTTGGATTGCCCAACACATTGACGGACAGACACTGAGAGTGAAAGATCCATCCAGTGAGACTTAGAATTTGGATGGGCCCTCTCCTATCCTGGCGCTCATCGTCATCGCCCATCCAACCCCCTGGATTTCAAGTTTCAACCCTTCATTCGCATTCTTAGACGGATTGGTCGAACATCTTCACGATTCCTTGCAGTTTGTGAGGCATTGGCACTGATGCCCATCAGCGACTGCCTCTCGTTACAATCACGCCAGTCGGCCCTGTCTGGTCAGCTGTCCCCGACCAGTCTCCACAGGAGATCTGGGCAAGTTGCAACCACACCAGTTGTGCCTGTGGTCGGCTCTCCTGTCCTGGCGCTCATCGTCATCGCCAGATGGACCGGTTGAACATCTTCACAATTCCGTGCAATTTGTGTGGCATTGGCACTGATGGCCATCAGCGACGGCCTCTCATTACAACCACACCAGCTGGCCCTGTCTGGTCGGCTATCACCGACCAGTCTCCACAAGAGTTCTGGGCCCGTTGCAACCACACCAGTTGTGCATGTGTGATCGGCTGTCCCCAACCAGCCCCCACCGAAGGTCTGGGCCAGTCTGTTGTACCCCCACCATCAGGCCTTTCTGGTCGGCGGTTCCGAACCATTGCCCGCACAAGATCTGGGCGGTCGTCCACAAAATAACTGGACACTCGTATGCAGAAACTGGACGAATGATGACTAACGGGAGAGGCCCCGATCAGTTGCTGTAGCTATCCGCATTAAAGAAATGCGGCGATGTCTTTGAATCATTGTCCAATCTTTGCTCGAATCAAATGCCTGGTGGCATGATCAAAAGCGGATGATTGGCCCCGATCAGCCGCAGTAGCTATCCGCATTGCAGAAATGCGGCGAAGTCTTCAAATCATTGTGCAATCATTGCTCCAATCAAATGCCTAGTGGCATGATCAAAAGCGGATAATAGTAAGCTCCCATCCTCCTTCACGTCCTCAAACGAAACAATCCATCGAATCTTTAATTCATCGCTTCAAGCTTTACACGGAGTATTTCCTTGACTCGCTGTGTTTGCAGGGGTTTAGGGGGAGAGAAAGGGGATGTGAAAGTGCGTACATGTGATCGTCCAGATCATAAATCTGCACATTCCATTCGAATTCCCCGAGTCAGAGAACTGTGGCGTAAGCAACAAAACCCCCCACTGTCTTCACCCAAATAAAACGCCTGTATTTGGAGCACTTTCAGTCCGGATACGGCAATCACGGCTGTCCCGGCTGTGCTATTCTAGCAAAGTTGGTAGCTCAGAGGTCAGAAAGGTCAGATCAGACATGCCTGCTCTCCGAAGGGAAGCCAAGGTGGTGTTTCTTGACTGGAAAAGAAAAGTGAGTAATGATCGATCGGGCTGCTCGGAAAAAGCAATGTTGCTCACCTATCGGGCTATGTCAACCGATAGCCGATGAAGACTGTCAACCGGTAGCCGATGAAAAGGCCACCCTAGCCACCATGCAGATCATGATTCCGTCAAGTTACTACTGTTACAGAGAAGGAAGGGGGGGGGGGGACCGAAAAACCTAGGCTACCAGAGCGGCCCGGGGCTACTTGCCCGGCCGGGCCAAAAAATAATAATAAAAAATATATATATTTTTTTTAACTTTAATTTTTATTTCAAATTTGGTAAAGAATTTCGATGTGACCCTGAGGCAAAAGTTGTTCAGTTTATTTTTCTGCATAACATAGTTTTTTTTCGGATTTTTTTTGTTGTTATAACATAGTTTTTTTTCGGATTTTTTGTTTGTTTTTGCTAGGACCTTCCCTTGTTCTTGCACGGTCGGGCCGTCTGGGAAAGTAGGGTGACCTGGGCGGCCCGGCTGGTAGCCTAGCAAAAAAAGAAAAAAAACTTTTGCATGATTCTCTCTTCAACAGCATGCCAACTGCTCTGATCAACAGCAAGTCGCACAATAATTGGCGGAATTGGGCAAATGACAGCTCTATGGAAGACCCGAAAAGAACACCCGGTCGTTATGGATCTATTTGGGGCGACTTTCAGTCAATTGTGGCTACAGCGAAGATGACCATGCATTCCATTCGGGTGAAGTTAGCCTTAGGATGTCCAATCACGCTCTCCACAAATATGCACATGGTCATTTCTCACCAAAGTGTAAGTGCAATGACGACATGACCCCCTCCCCCCCCCCCTCCTCCTCCTCCCCAATGGGATGGGGTAGTCGCATGTCGCGTACATTGATGTCCTCATGAGGGACAGGCAGGTAACAAATCTGGTGAAGGCAGCTGACTAGGAGCCTTGACAATTTGCCAGGTGGTTCTCATCCTTTCCATCACAGTTCGAGAGGTACAAGCAGGTCCATTGATCTCTCTTCCATGAAGGCGATCGGACACACTGCCCTCGGGATAGCAGGGGTAGACCACATTACGAGTCGTTCGGACTCGTTTCTCCCCGTCACAGTATCTGAGCAGTCTGATAAGGTTCTCGCGATGGAGTCCGGTCAATGTGACTACCTCCTCCACAAACATCGTGATAGGCAGGACCTAAATGCCTGATATGATTGTTCTTGGTAAAATTATTGGTGCGATGAGACGGAGCTGAGAGAGCAAATCTCTGATGAACCTGAACAGGATTGAGGGTATAATAGTAATAATACCCTTCCTGTTCGTGCTTTCCTGCTTGATCCAAAGTTTCCAAACACAACACTTGTAGGGTATAATGGACTGTGTTGGTTCATGCCTCTGTGTGTACACGCGGGTGATGTGGACAACCAAGGAAGTCAAAGCAAGGATGACGGCAGTCGCAGTGACAACGGAGAGGGAAATTACAACTTTCGAACGTACATACAACGACCACGGCTCGATGCCACCGATTCAGTCTCAGATAGGGGAGCGCTGGCATCAGGGAACAATGAGGAGTGTGGTGTCAGATTTATCCGAGACGGGGAGATCAACCATGGGTAGGACGCCCAAGACAGCGGAGGTCAAAAGTGGAACGCACCGGTGAAGTTGCAACTTGTCAAACTCAATCGGGCGCCTGTCATCGGTCACGAACAAGCTCGACTTCTGCTCGCGAAGTGTCCGTTGGCAGCATCTCTTCGCAGAGCTTCTGGCGGCAATCCCCACGCTCTGCGCCGCTGTGCAGGCCGCGCGGATTCCAACTCAGTGAAGATAAGCGAACCTGATTCGACCACCATGAAGAGATCACATCCATCCAATGTGACTACCATGTCCAGCAGGCTGGCGGCTGACACTTTCTTGTCCAGGATGGTCATCCGCTGCAAAATTAGGTTGGGGACTTCCCGGTGTGAAAGTCGGTCTGAGTGTGGAGGATGACGTGTCGGCAAGACGAACGCTCCATGTCCTGTCGCTATGATAAATAATCCCTGAAGGTGAGACAGAGTGAAGTGTAGAACTGCACCTACTTCTTTTTTTCAACGTTTAATAACAAAACAAACAGAAACGTAGATGCGTGTTCACCCAAATAGAAAACACCCAGTCATTATCGCTGTATCTAGAGTGAATTTGAATGAAAGGTTTTACTCGATAGTTCTTTGCTTCCAACCAACTTCTTTGCCTGGTGGGTAAATGGTAAACTGCTGCATCCAGCCGCCGATTACCAAACAGATCAAGATTTCAATCACATGTGCTGGAACACAGCCATGTTCAGGGGTTGGGGGGGATTATACACTTAAACCACCCACCCGCTCCTTTCCCAGTAATCTTGTTCCGACCTGCCTCTTTAACTCGCCATTAAATCGCACGTGGAGCCTGCCAGATGGAAAGGCTAGCGTGACTCCACAAATCATGTGCCACACCCATTCGGCACGAATCGGCACGGGTCAAAAATCGCGTGTCGGAAATGTGAAATGGTGCCATAAATTGACTGTTCAGTACTCCACTTTGTCCGGTCCATCCCACTCGTCAGTCGAAGTGAAGGACTACAAAAGGGACCCTCGAAAGCACACCCGCCCTGAGCCCAATATAAAAAAAAAGTACACTGCCTGCAGCTTCAAAAGCACCGTCTAACATTCGTTCCATGTGCAAGAAACCCACATACCATCCTATATCTGCCATTCCATTTGCTTCTTTTGCTATCTATAAATGATTCTGTATTCCTTACGAGACAGTCCTTGTGGAAGTTTACATGCATCGAGTTTCTTTTTTTCTTCTTTTTTTTTTCATTTTTTTGGACGATTTCTCGATTTATGTGCGTCATCCATCCGCAGGGGCCATGCTAATCTTCGCTGTATCGTTCCAATTTTAGGTTTTAACGGATGTCCCGAAGGACGCGTCGAGAAGTTTCTTTTTTTTTTCTTTTTTAATTCTTCTTCTTTTTTTCTTTTTTCTTTTTTTTTGGGTGGAGTTTTTTTTTTTTTTTTTTTTTTTTACCGATAACAGGTCAGTTGTTAGCCCCATCTGTTTTCAGGGGCATCAGTTCCAGTTGCTTATTGGACCAGCTTGCATGACTCAGTTAAGGAGGAGAAAGCATCAAGGAGTTTTCAGACAGCTAACGTGGGAAGGTTCGAATTGAGCGTGGTCCCCACAGAATAGGCTGCCTGAGTTAGGCAGTCATTATTGCTATTCCACCCACAATGGCAAGGGTAACCTGCTTTTATTTTCGACCCAACATTCAGATTCCTTTCTATTGGTGATGGGTGCAGGCATAAAACTTTGTGGTGGAACAAGAGAGCTCATTTCCGCCACCTGTTGCAGGTGCTGTCCATCAGCGTGATTGATATCTGCCAATGGGATAGGTAAGGCCTCTACGCGGAGTTTATGGGACTAACCACTCGCAGTAAGGAGTAGGACTGAGGCAGAACAAGAGTAGGACCTCTACATGGAGCAAGCTCATGTCTATCTTCCTTCCCCCCCCCCCCCAATCAACAACAATCACGGGCCCAGTGCCCAAGGCTTATATTTCCATACAAAAAAAAAAAAAAAAAACAGAGGCTGGGGTCCTCACAGTCTACCCGGAAAGGCTGAGAGCATTACCCAGTTTCTCTTACGGGGTGGGACCACACCCCGAGGGGACCAACCAACCCCCTGGAAAGACAATTTGCATAATCCAACTAGTCCCACAGCAATGGAACGACTCAGACGTAAACGGTTGCCTGAATGTTTTTTTTTTTTTTTTTTGGCGAACTTAAAGAGTCACGGACACCGCTTAGGGAGGTGATATGAGCAGCCTCCCTCAGTGGCTCCGCGGTTGAATGGCGGGGAGCAGCACCTGCTGGAAACCGGGTCCAGCGTCCCTCATATTACAAGACATTTCCGTGACTGCCAGTGCTCAGACATCTGACTCATGTACTCAGGTCTTCCTATCCTTACGGTTGCCTATCGCCTGTCCCCCCGAGGCGTGGGGGAGTTAGCCTCATGTAGCCCTGGTCCTCTGTTGTCATTGTGGACAGCTACCGCCCTCCTGCATGTGGTCATGTTGCTGAAACTGAGAATGCTGGAGAACTTCCTGGCTGCCCTGTCCCCCGGAGGCGTGGGGGAGCTAGGCTGTTTTGAAGGTACTTGCAGAATGAAAGGGCGGGCCTTGCCCCCCACTGGCCCCTGTTCCAGCTGGGGGCAATGGGCCCTTTCTTTGTCTGCCCTTGTGTAGCCCTGGTCCTCTGTTGTCATCTTGGACAGCTACCATCCTCCTGCATATGGTCTTGTTGCTGAAACTGAGAACGCTGGAGCTCTTCATGGCTGCCATTGTCGTAGCCGGAGTGATATCACATTGTGGAGCACCGGTATTGCTTGTCCATCGTGTATGGCCTGCTAACTTGAACCTTGGTCACCAGGCTGAGAGCGGGATACCAATGTCGGGGCCGAACACCATTCGTGTTGAGAAGGCCGTGGGGGGGTAGGCGAGGGGGGATCCACGGGAAGGGAGGGTGGCGAGGTTATGGGGGTCGGCTCAGCCAGGGCAGGGGGAAGCGGGATCTGGGGCGGGCTAGTGAGAGGGAGGAGAGGTTGGGGAATTGAAGGAGTCAACGAGGCGGTGGGTGGATAAGCAGTCCGGGGGAGGGAAGGCGAAGGAGAGGGAGGATACAGGGCCTATTGTGGAGGCGGGGTGAGCGGGGGTTGAGAGAATGGGAGAGGAGGCTGGAGTAGGGAGGGAGAGAGGGGAGGTTGGGTGCAAGACTGAGGAGTTCCTCCTATGGGTAGCTGTCCACAATGACAGCAGAGGACCAGGGCACACGCAGGAGGGCGTGTGCATTCCTGCCAGGCAGCGGGGTGTGGAAGCAATCAAGCGGTCTCAGCCGCCAGTGCTGTTCTTTGGCAAGCCAGTTCTTCCATATCAATTTCCCGTCATCGTGTATATCTGCCATCATCCTCTGGGGGTCGAGCCAGAGGTCCGTCCCGGGGTGCCCCTAACAGGGGGCAGTGGAGTTTGGGCTCCTGGAACTATGATGACGCTCCATCCGTCCCCACATCCTACCGAGGAGAATAACTGAGCGCACAGGTTTTCAGCTCATGTCTATCCAACAAGCATGGTTAGATATATGGGGACAATGGAGAGATGCAAAATTCTTCCTGCAGGCTGGCCGTGTTCTAAACCCAAAGAGCAAAACCAAAAGGGGTTCGAAAAGGGTTATTGCTTATTCCACTTGTAGTCAATTAGGTTATATGATATTCGCTTGACGTATCTCCAATTATTCTGCGGGTTTATTTCATTTGATGAACCATGCTCTTTTGAAAGCATTATTACTTTTCTTGAGCGCATATTCTGTGATTCATGCGATCTGCTGACTTTTCAACGCACCCTCATTATGCCTGAACCGGACCTGAAAGTTATCTTGTATACATTCAACATCAGAGTCCACGTGTCAAATTTACAATAAGCATCCTCAGAGTGTACTCGTACAAAGATTTCCTCTATACATCAGACCGCAATGACATCCAGCAGTCAATAGAAAAAGTCCTACAGTCTTCCCCCAAATTAAATGCACCCTCGTTATGCCTGAACCGGACCTGAAATGTATACATTCAACATCAGGGTCCACGTTATGTTTGGGGAAAGACGGGGTAGGTAGGAGTGTGCATATGCCCTCCACAACTCAATGCGACGATGGACAAGAAGCATTAACAAATCAGTTTCTCATGCTCTCTTCACATGAAGCGGAACGATCGAAACTGCGACTGTGACACAGCTTTTTCTTCTTCTTCTTTTATTTATTCACTTATAGAATCCGTGGACAAAGTGTCGATTTTCTGAGAATTGTTACAGAAAAGAAAAAAAAAAAGAACTATTATGTGGCCCTCTATTCAAAACCGTCTAAGATAAAGCAAACAAGAGAACGCCGCATTGGAAAGGCTAAAAAAAAGGAGGTGGCATGGAAACAGAAGAAAACAAGGGGGGGAGGGGGGGGGGGGGGGGGGGGGGGAGGAAGGAAAGGACCCCGCCGAAAAAAAAGGACAATCATCACTTTCTTTCTACTGGAAACCAGTGTTGGTCCCCAGGCGTCCATCTATCTATCTATCCACCTATCTATCTATTTCACTTCTTATCTTATTAGACCTGATGCAGCTTGATTTCCAACTGTCTGCAATGTACACAGGTCTCTACTGTGAAGTTGCAACTCCGACACCTCGCTAGCAGCAGGCATCCCCTTTGCATGTTGCCCCTTCGACAAGCCACGGCTATTTTCTCTTACTCCAGAGCACTGAATGCTGATAAAAACTTGAGATTTTATAAACGGATTGCTCCGCAGTCCATCCACGGTCGCAAAAGAAACAAAGGTGGTTGAGACTTGAAAGTCTGTCTGTACTACCAAATAATATACACCACTCCACAACTTCACCACCTCCTTCGCAAAGCCCTAGCCTGCCTAGATAAGGTTTGTCTTCTTTCTGAACCCATATCACTAATTATCAAGTATTCCTCCAAATGACCACTCGCTTACCTTACCGTCTGCAGTTGCGTGAACGACTGCTCAACCACTTACTCCTCAACTGCAGTACTGAGTCCAAACAGTTCCCTTACCTTCTGCAGACGTCTTATCTTAACACTGCTGCTCATCCACTTACGTCTACTACAGTATTAGGTCCAGACGTCTGCGGCACACATCATATCATGTCGACCATGCTGGCTCCTCGGCCCAATCTGGTTCTTCATCGTCACAGACGGACCTATCCAGGGAAGTCGACATTTTCCATACCGCACGGAGTCGACGTATTTCACGACTAAACGTACTATTGCGAGAGTACAAGAACGACTTCGCAAAGGCGCAGATAGTTAACTCGACAAGCGCGACAACTTCCGGAACTTGGCGCTGCTCTTCGGTTAAACTTCGTTCCCAGTTTCCTGCAGGCGTTTTCTCAAGAGAGCTCTCCCCCCCGGCACCGGAAAGTCGCACAACCCTAATCAGTGAATTGCCCCTTTCTAACAGGACAACAAGTTCTTCAACCTCTTCCTCTTCTGCGTCCGTTGCAAGGAACAAGAGATCCGATGCATTAATTGCTTCCAATTGTCTACGAAGGCATTTGGCAAGCTGTGGGATCGGGTAGAAACACCCTCTGCCAGCACAAAACTTCAAGAAGTCCCCGCGTCGCAGATGAACACTGGTGTACAGCGAACCAAGAAATGTTCGGGTGAAATTCAGTGCCGCTGAAACAATTGCCTCGTGAGGTTGCAAGACGGATCCATTGCAGGGTGTGCTCCAGGGCTCTCGACCATGCTGCATAGCATTAGCCTCCGTCGACAGCCTGACCCCAAACAGCTCGCCAACGCTCAGCACCTCTACATCCGAACTGAACTGCCGAAAGAACTCTACGGTGCTTTCTTCCTTCTGTCGGGCGGTTGCAAGTTCGCTCTTGGCAATTGTGATTCCAGTAGCGTTCTTGAAGATTGATATACCCTTTCTGATCGACGGGTTGTAGCCACCAAAGAACCGCATCATGTCCACCTGGTCATCAGCATGCCTGAGTGTCCGGAACTCCTTAAGGCTGATAACCGTTGATGGCCCCAGACACTTCCGAATACGAGGGACATCAAGGAGCGCGCCAAATGGCAGTCCGACCTCTTCAAGAGGGAAGACAAGGGTGCGGTTCAAAAAGGCCGCCACGACCATGTAGTTCATAATGCACATCAGCCGGTTGCCCATCCGTCCAGCCCCACAGATCATCATCAAATACCTATTCGGCGATGGGCACCATACAAGGCGTTGGTTGAGCAATTCTCCTCCAGGGAAAGCAGCAGCAGCAGCATCCTCAACCCTACATCTCCCATCAGGCAGGGACCACGACATTTGGGACAGGGCAACCAGGGGCTGAGAATCACCTCGTTCTTGTAAAATGGAGGACGGGGCCTGCGGAAGACCATCACCCTTTCTATCACTGGCGGCAGACGGAGAAGCTACAGCGGCAGACACACCTTCAATAGAATCCTCCCCCACCATCAAAATGGGAGGGGAAGCTCGGACTTGAACCCGCGACTCGAAGTGCGTACGGACAACGTGTGAAATCAACTCCGGCTCCTCGATCTCCCTGCTATCGAGCAGCATGTAGCAAAGAAGAAGTGTTGTACTCAGAAACATCACAGCTGCAATGCAGCGCCGCGGAAAGGACTGCATCTTCAGAAGACTTCGGTTGCAACCAAGGCCGACAACAGCCCTGAGCCAAAGAGCGCTATAACTGCTGTACTGAGCGACAAAGACACCAAGGAAATCCAAAAACGAAGTAGGATATAAAGCTAAACAAAAACAAAACAACACGATGGCTGCACCCTCTGTATATTCGCTATCCACACACCAAACTGCTTACTTTCACTGCAGGAAAAAAAAAAACTGCCGCATCAAAATCGCATTATCTGGAAGGGAGGGGACCACAGAAAAGCCCGCACAGAATGGCTAGCCAATCGCAGTAGCTGCCAGCGCCGACCGAAAAAAACAGGCCCAAGGCATCTACAACGAAAAGCACAACTTCGAGAATGGCAAATCATCCGACAATCGTATTCTGCAGCCGCAACCAGCACAATGCAGCTGCTCCTTCATTTCATTCCTTTTCCTGGAAGCGCTTAGCATACAAAAGGCCCAGTCGGATTGGAAAGACAGCTAATCCAACCCAACCGGGCGGGGATACCCAAGGGAAGGACAGAAACACCAGATACTACTCCAACTGTATCGCACACTAAACCTTGAGCAAAACCCCTGAACAGTTCATTCGATTACATTCTCATGCGCGGAGCATGCACGAAAAAAAACACCCCGGAATGACGACGAACTCATTCCCGGGGGGTACCATAGCCTGCTGCAAAAGGATATCACTGGACTGGATTTAGCCAGTCCGTGGAAGATCTCCGACCGTGTCTCCAAGATGCAGTTGAATGGGGAGCTTGTGAACGCGAGGTGTAGGTGGGATACCAGACCATACATGGCAAACAGCTTGCTTACGTTCTCAAACCACTTTAGTACCCCCAAAGGCGATCACGGCCAGCCCCATGGCCATGCCAGGCTTCAACGGCGGCATCAGCACCACAGGCGTGTATGCAATTGACTACCCCACAGTTCTCCGACTGGGGGAATTCAGATGGAACGGCGATCGTTTAGAGTGCAACAGGAGATACACAAGGGAAAAAGGCGATCGTTCGACAAAGCTAAGCTTGGCTTGGCTTGCAGTGTGAGTGCGCCAGGCACAAGGACACGACCTGCCTTTCACAAAGGCAAGCAATGCGTGCTGTCAGAACAATCACTCGATGCCAACGACTCTAGGGATATCCTCCAAAACCTTCCCTTCCCTGCCTGCAGTTCCCCCCCTGACCTGTCAGGCCTGCATCTTTTTTTCTTTAATCAGATATATTAAACTGATTAGAACAGATACTACACTTCATCTTAGCCAAAAGGCGAGGGAAAGGTATAGTCAGGCCTGTACCCTATTCTCTCTCTCAACACCCTGATTAGAGAGATCGCTGCCTAGGCCCAGATGCAGAGGCTACTGTTCCTGGCAACCTCTTACTTCCCTATGCCATTCACTCAAGAGGCTCCATCTCCATTCCACTGCTGCCCTAGCTCCCCCTGGACCACAGTTTGACCCTGGACTAGAGTCTGAACCACCAGTGCCTCTCCCTGACCACAGTTAGATCCAGGACTACAGTTTGGACTATCAGTGCCTTAACGATACCCGAGTTGGTCCCGTCAGCCGCCAATTCTTAGAAACACCCACATGAGATGAAATCCTCCTCTTGCAATGACAAATCGCCAAAGTTCAAATTGGCAGCAAGTAAGAATACCTCAATTGGCATTAACTGTGATTAACAAAATAACTGTAACAAGGACATTCTCTCTCTCCAAAAGGAACTCCCCAAATACCAAAAAGAAAAAGAAAAAAAACGAATACAAAAAAAGAATCCCTTAAAAATGTTAAACATTTCATCAGCAGATCCCAACAGCCAAGTTCGGATTTTCGTATTTATCCCCACTATCCTCTCTCCGTGCAACGCTTCATCAGCCCATCCTACCAGCAAACTTCGGCGGCTTTGTCTTTCCATCGTACGTGTGAGAGCCGGACGATGACCATCCTGTGCACAAGGTTCAGCATCACACATGGGCCTCAAACGACTGTACGAGAGAAACCAGTATCGACTCGCATAAAGGGCAAACAACACAAAGACAAGTGCAACATATCAATCGCTACACCCAATTAGCATAACGATGAAGAGCATCGAAACCGTCCTCGTTCTCCACACCCCACCACGCTCACACAACTTTATTACAGCCACTAAGCCACACAACTCGAGTGCCAACGAAGCCCCCTCCTATTCATCAAGCCACTGAGAAGATTACCTCAAAAGCAAAGCACTATTTTTTGCGAATCTAGCCTCGGCAAAGGACTCAGTTTTTCGTATCTAGCTCCAAGGCTACAGGTTGTGACCGCGATGCTTCTGCAGAGAGGTTGGCAGCAGCTGATATACAGAAATAGTCAGTCTCTTGGACCTTCCATCTCCTTTCTAACAAACCAAATACGATGCACAGTAAGTGACAATAACATATCGCATCACTGACCTGATGCGCATGATGATGGCATGTCATCAAGAGAAAGGAGACCAGGCCATGCCAGGCTAGTAGGCCAGGTAGGCCAGTCCATGCCAGTCTACAGTCGTCCCCCAAACATAACACACCCCGATAATGATTGCAAACAAGCTAGATTTCCGGTCAGGTACAGCAGAAATGAGGGTGCGTTGTAAACAAGCTAGATTTCCTGTCAGGTACAGCAGAAATGAGGGTGCGCTATGTTCAGGGGAGGAAGACAGTAGTACGCCCCTGCATGCAACATACCAAACCTGACAAGCAAACTGAGGGTACTCAGAACGCTCGACACAAATTGCGTTGAGCTCAACATAATTTGTGTGTCAACTTTCAAGTTGTCAACAACAAAATTTGTGTACTGCTCATCGAGACCCGCCCAGCATATTGCTGAACGCTGACAAGGGTGCGGACACCTTTTGCGCAACTAGGTAGCAACTCCGGGCTGGCAAATTCCACAAATGCCCTCATGACAACCACCTATTTAGTTAGTGAGTCAGGGTCTCGCTCCACTGCTCGCCAACTGTGCAATACGAGAACAAATTTTCCGCTAGAAGATGTCAAGATACACTGCCATATTTTTTGTCGTTTGTGCATGTGGTGAGTTGCGGAGCGGAGGACCCCAGTCTCAAGAAAACAGCCCCGTTCCTCTCACCCAAATCCCTGGACTCTTGGTAACCAACCAGAAAAAAACGCCCCACTTCTTGGAAAAGGGGAATGGAGAGGACAAAAAAAGACACATCCCATGTGGCTGAATTGTTCACACATCTGACTCTTAGCAAACAGATCACCCGCAGAAGTCCTGATGGATTCAGAATCTTCAGATGGATTCCATTCGACACCGTTTTTTAAACATCAACAGGAGGAGAAAACCGGTCGAGACTAGGTTGACCAAAGACAAACGGCCAAAATGCAGAACAAGGGAGTGTAGCAAGCGGGGTGAGGAAACTCTCTCTCNCTCTCTCTCTCTCTCTCTCTCTCTCTCTCTCTCTCTCTCTCTCTCTCTCCCTGCAGTTCCGTGGATGCCAGGCTCAGTTCATTCACACAGCATGCAAGGCTAAGCCGACTGGAGATGTCTGCATGCTTACAGCCGTGCAACAGCTGATGCAAAACGATAAAAAAAAAAAAAAAACATACCTCTGTCAAACTTCTTTCCTTCAGGGTCCCTGGTCAAAATCTTGAAAATATCCTCAAACAGAACCTTCTCAGACATCTTCTTCTCCCTTCGACAGCAAGTCCCCGAGGATTTGTGACTGGTCGAATGGACAGATCCCTCCCTACTTTTGGCACAGTGCTGAATCTGCTTTTCTTCCCCTTTTCGTGACTGGTTTCACTGCCAGGCTTCGCACTCACAGCGCTCTCCGTATCTGCAAAATTTCAACGACAACCCACACGGTCAATTTATGACCTCCATCCATGCGCTCATCCCCAGCCTCCGCCCAGAACTCTCCTCTGTTTAGCCAGGTATTATTTCCCACGGAGCAGTCACGCCAGCATTCATGACATGAAGAGATGTGTTGCACTGAGGTAAGAACAGTATAAGCCAGGACAAAAAGATGTTCTCAACGCCACATTAGGGGTGAGAGGTGTCTTGAAAGGGGGCCAGAAGGCGGCGTGTCCAGGTGGGCGGGTGGATGGGTGGGTGTGTGGGGGGTAGGGGCGTGGGGGGGGGGGGGGGGGGTTCAGATTCTTCAGAAAGGTCTTCGCTTCTGCAATTAACGGAGTGGGCCAGGACGTAAGTGGCAAAGCCAAAGCAAGGGAAGGGGGGAGGGAGAGGTCGAGGTTGGAAAGCAAAGGGCCCCCCACGAAATGACATGCCAGACATTTGTCTTTTTCGATGGGGGGACACTGGCATATTATGGGGTTTGAACCTACAGTCTGTAAAGTATTACATCTGGTGCAGGAGTGTAACAGTTTGCTTTGACTTTTGTTCCAGAGGTACCCTGGAGGCAGTGGTTGGTGCCCACCTTAATATAGGTAGAATAAGGAGCACTGCTAAATAAAATGTGGCGGAAGAGCTATTGTAAGCCTCCGGTTAGGACACATGTTCAATAACGCCTGTACATGCGGTGAGAGAGGACACGTAATTTTCTTGGCTCTGCTCCGCAACAATTTCTGACAGTTACACGTACAATAGGGCACGTAATTGGCTCTGCTCCATAACAACTCCTAAGACACCATGTACATGAACCGAGGTTGAGCCCCCCATTTCTGCTGTTCGATTTAACATGTAGAACTTGAAAGTCGTTTTTGCAAGTTCCATTTTCACAACCATCTCTCTCTCTCTCTCTCTCTCGCGGGCGCGCGCGCGCGCGCTCCATACCAACTCCTCAAGAGTGGATTCCATTCCTGCCTACCGAAAACCTTCAATTAATTTTGAATCCAGGAAGGTTTACTGCTGCACCAGTCTGTACAACATGTTGGTAGGTTTACCGTTGTAGCCCAGTAATCGATCCACAGCCAGACGGAATTCCGCAGCCAAACGGAACTGAACCAGTGACCTCCGCTGTACCAGCCGGATGCCTTTACCACTGCAACCCGGGTGTTCAAAACTGAAGCCATCCCAGTCGTAACACATGAACAGAACTGGAGCACCAGTCTGGACCACATGAACAAAACTGGAGTTCCACTGTGGACCACATGAACAGAACTGGAGCACCAATTCCAACCACGAGAACAGAACTGGAGAACCGGGGCGCGGCTGCTCAATGTTGGGAAAAATACGATTGATTGAATTTAATGCACAAAAAAAAGTCTATCCGATTGTCCATAGCCTTGCACGGGAGCGGGAAGAAATATGTACGTACGTTTAGGCAACGACTGACTTTATGCAACACAGCATGGAGTTTCCTCACTGTTTGGGAAATCTCCCGCTTCGTCAGTCTGACCTGGCAGTCGACATTTCCTTCACTCTAGCATTCCTGTGAATCGGGTGCATCCACGAGATCCGCCATCACGACACCCGGCACGCCACGTGGCCGATAAGATATCAAAATGCCTAAAAAAGATGCCCTCGCAGAATGAAATGCATGCATGCATCCATGCGACTCTTTGTTTTTTTTCAGGTCCATCGCCACAGTCACTCAATAGGCGTCCTCACATGGCACTAGACTTCCATTTTTTCCTTCGTTTTTTTGCACTAGCCTTTCTTTCTCTTTTCGACTGCAGCCGAAATTAAACAGATACATTCGTGAAAGTCTTAGTGTGAGCATTGTGCCGCCCTGCAACACGTAGCGAAACGGGAGCATCGGACCCCAAGTGGAAGTGGCAGCTCAGGCCCTGCTGTGGCCGGTCAGTGCACACTGCACACCCAATGCACATCCAAACAAAAGAGCTCTCAGGTTGAGTTTCTTACTTCCTCAGTCATAGTTGACATTCACGGCTGGATTACGATGCCTACGAGGGGGTTGAGACCCCCCTAAATTTCACGATACTTCCAGAGGCTTGAGAAGAGACCCCTCAACATACCTGTCAGTGTTGTCACGACATAAGCTCATTACGTCATCATCATGACATATAATCTACAATACCTTCCATAATAATCTCGAATTACCTGGGGCCGGCCGCCTGTGGATATATCTAAAGATTGCCACCGTTTGGGGGAAAAAAAAAGAAAAAAAAAGGAGCAGCATGCACTAACACTCGTTCATCCAGTTCATCGACTATTTTTTTATCATGTCACACGTGACAAATTGATTGACTTCCACAAATCTTTTATCATGTCACACATGACAAGTTGATCAACTTCCACAAAAAAAGGAGAAAGAAATCCGATTGGTTGAGAAGAATGCCCATGCCTTACTACGCCAGCACCCCACGTAATTGATTCGCTGGCGGATTGAATGACGAGCTAATATCATCGCACATCGAGCGACCAGATACACTGACGCAAAAAAATAAACAACCTTGCAAACGTTTTTTTCCCCCCATCAAAGGCAGTCTGATGAAAGAGGGACAAATCAAAGCGAGTCTGATGAAAGAGGGCCAAATCATATAGCGAGTCTGATGAAAGAGGGCCAAATCAAAGCGAGCCTGATAAAAGAGTACCTCATGTGAGGGCGCCTCACATAAGAGTCCGTAACGAACCATCATTTCTATAGAAAAAAAAAAAAAAACACTGCAGTCGACATCAGTGGAGTGTTATATTCCCTGGCCATTTTGTTTCGCAAATTTCGTTCTCGCATCCTGTGAATCGGAGCGCATACATGACATTTGTAATCATCATCATCATATCCCTACCATCAAATTGGAGGGTTGCAATCATCACCATATCCAGACCATCAAATTGGAGGGTCAGATGCGAACGAAGCAGAATCATGCACCCCGAAAGAGGGGTACTAGATGCATCGAAACTTCAGTCTGAGGAGAGAAGCCTCCTGCTACAGCAGCAGCATCTTCCATGAGCCTTTCAATTCCGAAACATGTCAGACACAGCTAATCAAGGCAGTAGGCAAAAGAAAAGGAAGGAGAGGGAGGAGGGGGGGGGGGGGGAAGACTTAAACCACAAAAAAATGCAAAATAAGGTAACGATGGAAATGTGTCTCTCACCCCGATAAAAAACGGTGGCTCTTGCTCCACTACTCGCCCCTCTACAATTTTTTGTAGAGTGCTTATATAGCTCTGACAGGACACAAGTCGGCGGAAAATCCGCCATCAGCCTCCAATTGGTGACGGCGCTAGAAGACACGGTGGCAGCGCTAGAAGACACGGTGGCAGAGCTAGAAGACAGGGCGCCATCAGCATTTCCTCCGCCCAGACTCGAGGCGGACTCTCCAACATCGGCTCCCCTTTGTGAGTTCGGCAGAGGACTCCACAAGTACGGCAATCGTAGGCAGGGAACTATACAATTTTGGAGAGTGCTTCTCTACCGCAAGTCTGACAGCTAGTTGAGGCGTTCAATTCATTTTGTAGAGTCGGTGAAGCATTGCCCCACTCTCCAAAAACTGAGAGTGAGAGTGGAGAGTAGTGGAACAAGACCCAGTTTCTGTTAAATCTATGCATTGCAAAAATAGCCCTAGGGATCTGCACACCGATATCTTTTTTTTTTTTTTTTTTCCGAAAATGCCGAATTTCAACTGATCTCGCCCTGCGAGTTTCATTGGCGAGCAAGCTTCTGTTTCTTTCCTGTTGTCCCAGAAAGAATCTTTGCTGCTGTTGGGCCTCGCTCCACTACCGCCAATGAATGGGCAAAATGAGAATGAGAGAAGGCCTAAAAAAATCACACTGCACGCCAAAAACAAAACAAACCGGCGTGGGCCTCATTTTGGTTGGCACCACCATCAGCCATTTCCGTCTGGTAGTACCCAACGACGTTCGTCTCCGGAATATACCAGCGCGTATTTGATTTCCAAGTAGGGAAGGGGACTGGTGGTCTAAATGTGCAGGCCCACCCAGACTCTCCTGAGGAGTCTTTCCCCCAGGAGGGGCTAAATCCTTCTCTTCAGTACCTAGAAGGTCCATAGGTGGTCGGTGTCCTAATTTAACTAGTTTCCATTTTAGTTTTGCAGAATCCGGTTTTCGCATTTTCGGCGGGCCTTTCCCCCAGGGCCACCCACACCTTTCTTACTCTTTTGTCAATTCTGAGCTTGCTAGTTCTGGACTGACTGACTTTTCTGAAATAGGTAGTTTTAAAGTTTTTCACTTTCCGAGTATATTTAAGGTTTTATCTTTCATTATGAAATAGAAGAAATCATCGATTGCAGGCCCTCAGGTTATTGGAATCAGCCAGGTAGGACTGGGTACTTTAGGATAGTCTCCCACTGCCTGACAGCGGCTTTTGATACCGTGTAGGCACCTGCTGTACTGTGATGACAATACGTTGTTTTTATGCGTGTCGGGGATAAGCAACTGGACTGGTGCCCTCCAATAATATAAAAGGGGGCTGTGTGCGGGGAAAAAAAAAAAAAAAAAAAAAAAACTCCCCGCACGTCTCCCACTCTCCCAAGCCCACCCACTTTACATTTTTTTGTTCTGTCCAGCTCATGGCAACGACTCCTCACACAGTGAAGGCCATGTGCCAAGCGTTGCGAGGCAAGCAGGTAGACACTTCTTCTCTGGAGTCTCAACACAAAGGACAAATTATGTTCACCCCTCTCTGCATTTTTTCGCTTTGTGTCCAGAGGACAAACAGCGAAGCCCAGGTGGCAAGAGAGGCAAACGAACACGTTTTTTTTTGTTCTTCCCTTAACAAGAAAATGTTTTGCATCACGCTTTTACGGGAAGAGAATTAAAAAAACGTGTTGCTTTTGCGGGGAAACCCTCAAAGACATTTATTTTCTTCCTTCGCCTTTTCTTTCTATTCAAACCAGTCATGAGGCGCACTGCGGCAAGCATGCCAGCCATGAAGATCAGCTCATTTTGCCTTTCACTACTTAACCTACCCAGCAGTACTCCTAAAAGCCTAAACAGGGGAGTCTTGTCTGGCATGAGGGGGAGGGGGCACCATGCAGGCTGGGCAGTCTTGTGTGGCATGAGTGGGAGGGGGCACCATGCCGGCTGGGCGGCATCATGTGGTCTGGGTGTCCGGTCAGACAGCGTGGCGTGGGTCCTACCGCATGGACCGAGCAGTACCATGCAGGATATGTGTTGGGCAGTACTATGTGGGATGTTGGTTGCGATCTACCATGTGGGGCAGGTCATACTATGTGGAAACGGTGGGACTATGTGGGCAGGCCAGTACTAAGTGGCTGAATGGTAAACACATCAGCTATTGCTGGATCGACCTGTGGTTCGAAACCATGTTTAAGCAATGGGGGGGGGTGAAGACTTGAAGGGCATACTCACACTAGGACTTCTTTTCTTCTTTACGACTGTATTTCTGGTCAGAAACATCCAAGTCGTGGACCGTAATGCAAAGAACCTGACTGAACTTCACATGTTGAAGTGTGCCAGATAGCATGCAAATAATACAGGTCACACAGATTGCATTGACTCACACGAAATTCAATGGAAAAATGAGTGGGAACCAGGAAACACAACTCTATTATCGTAACCAGATTGAAGAAAAAGAATCACGAGTTCAAAATGAATAGCGCTCAACAGAATTACAAGTCCTCTTCATTCATCATGAGTTCCAGGCCTGGCGCTCATCAGCGCCAACAACCAATCATCCAGTACAGAGCTCGACAGGTAAGTTCCTTCATAACTCGCTTCTCTCTCTTCTCTCCTTGTCCTTCTTCTCTCTCTGTATGTCTACAGTTCTGGTCTACTCACACTCACCATGCATGCACACTCCCTACCACACGAGGATCTACTCTGAATACTACTCACTGGACTCTTCTACTAACTATCCCTGCTAATGTACTGACTAGCGCTGACGCAGCTATGGCTGCCTTCCTTCCAGCCAGCGCCCCACTTCTCTCTCTCACTTACCGCTGTCCGCAGCCTAGCGCAGCTCACACGCATCTGGCGCACAAGTGCCACGGCACTTCCACACTCTCATGCGAAGTGAGCATCTGCCAAATGAAAAGGCTGTCCAGTCCTTTATAGCGCTGGACTGGTCTGGCGAGGTCTGAATTCGGCCTCCAAGTGTCTGGGACTCCTGCCCAGTACTTGTTGTTGCAAAGTGTGTGTCCCAGTATCTTTTCCCATGGTCTGCTGATGCTTTGGGCCGTCGTCGGGCCTGTCTTTTGGACTCCTGGTCTGAATCAGGACTCAGCCGTGGGACTGTGACTGGACTGGGACTGTGACCTTTGACTTATTGCCGAACAGACATGACTTATCGCCGAACAGACATGACCCTAACTCAGTCTTGAAATCTGTGCCCAATACCTGTTCGTTTAGGACCTGTCCGTGACTATTCAAAACGACTTTTCAATTCACTCTGGATGCGACATTTGCCTCAGGAACTTGTCTTTTGGAATGTTGCTCGTGAAATTGAGTTCAGGCCGAGAGGGCCCCTTTATGCTGGGGTC